AGTGACTGGAGTTCAGACGTGTGCTCTTCCGATCTATGTCTAATCAAATACTTGGCAATTTGTATGATCTCATATTTGTTTTTGAACAATTTTTATTTGTTAAAATAATATTTTTGATTTAGGAAGAATGTAACGTACGATACTTTTTTATATTCTTGGCGTAATCTTTTTTTTTTTTTAAAAAAGAGTTTTGGTAGGATATCTTTTTTGTGGAAAAAATCCAAAATGTAATAAAAATTATGACATAGCTCTTAATTATTTTAAGAATTGCAATAATAGCAACTCTATTATATAATAACACTTCCACACATGTAAATCTATTTTTATTAACAGTTATACATAATATTTCATGTTTTAGAATGGGCTGAAATAGTGGAGGCTTCGAAAAATATTATTAAATATGGTGTGCCTTTTCCAAGTAAACAACAAAGAAAAGAGTTGGCGAAGAAGAAAGATATTGACGATATTAATTCTGATTCTAAGGTAGACGTCTATTCAAGTTTTGTAATATTTTTATTTGTTTCTACTTTTTAAAAAATTTTATTTATCATTCTATTAAAAAAGCTGCAATTTTTAAGCTCTTTCTAATAAAATTACAGTCTGACTATTACATTCTTGTTTAAACCATCTAATCTTTTTTGTGATTTTTATTTTTAAAGCTTTTCTGATTAATTTGATACTATTTTGTCAAAGATTAATCAGAGAGTTTTAAAATTAAAATTAAATAAATATGCGTGCTTAAAATTAAGTATGATATAGATGCATGAAATATAGATTTTTATTAGAAGAAGTAATTGCGTGCCGTGTACATGTAATTTCACTCAAAAATATTTTCTAACAATATGTCTCATGTACATAAAGACTACGTATGTACACATAACATACTTGAATTTGATTGAAAGTCAAAAATTGTTTAGACTCATACAACTGAACTAAATTGGATCTGTATAATAAAAAATTATTGAATAAGTCTGAAAGAATCCGTTAGAAGTATTTAAAAAGATATTCTCTTTTGCAGAAACTTTTAAAACCATTAGGGGAAAAAAAAAGATTGGCACAGAACAAGAGAGACGACAAACACTTTGTAACAGTAAAAACTGTAAGAGATAAAGAATTCAAATTAAAAGATGATGACTTTTTCGATAGTATTGGGTCCTCGCTTTAAAAAAAAAAAGGGTATCAATATGATAGCAAAGACTGCTGATGTAGAAATAATACAGCAGAAGAGAAAGAAAAAGGAGAAACAGACAAACATTGTAAGTATTACGAGCCTACAATAACAATGTTATATAGATATTGTGACATTTGTGCAATGTTCGTTTGAATGGGATGTGTTTGTAAAAAACTTCTTTATATTTTATATTTTTACATTGCTTTTCCAAATTTTTTCTTGAAGATCATTATATGGATCCTTATACTTTTTGAAAATACCATGTTTAAGCCATCTCTAAGATTATTAAATCAAATTTTATTTTCAATTTACACAGAGTAATTATTTTTTAATTTCAAAGTTAAAAAAAAATTAGTGCAAATTGTAAAAGAAATTGAGAATATATATACATATTTTTTATTAGTAAACAATATTTTTCTTATCTTACCTTTTCAACTATTTTTCTACTAAATCATGATATTAAAATATAAAAATAATAATTTATAATAGTATGATAATCAATTACTCAAATCTTGTGGTTTTTCTAACAATTTTTATGACTCGTTTTTAGATCTTTTCTTCCTCAAATGAATCTGGTGAGGAATCAGAAGAAAAAAATAAATTATCAAAAAGTCAGTTGTTATTAAAGGTCAGCATCCTTGAAGCTGAAGTTAAGAGACTTTGTAATGACTTGAAACTTTATAAGACTATGCATGTTATCGTTGAAGGTATGTAACTTG